AGGGTGTCGCAGAGGTGCACGTCCAGCCACTTGCAGGCGGACTTGTCTACCGTTTACAAAAACATGAACAAAACCCCCAAACTACACTTTCCAGCCTCAAACCCTCTGTTGTCTTTGGAGTCTCTGGCGAGTCGGGGGCCCTGGGAAAGAGGAGGCCCTGGCAGCTGGGCCGGTGGCTCAGCCCCGATGCTCGGTCCTTGTCCAGGCCAAGCCCGGGCACCACGAAAGGGCCTCTCTGGATCGACAAGGACTCGGAGTGAAGACCCACCGGATCCGCCTCATTTTTACTGTGTTTCTCCCCCTCCCTGTGGTGCGGTTTGGGTTCCCTCGGTGGGACCGGCAAACAGAGGGCGTTGGCAGCGGTGTAGGCAGTGAGGACACTGGCCGGGAGCGCTGGTGAGCTCCGTGCCAACCTACTTCCAGTTAAAGTGGGACCGGGCAGCTGAGGAACTGGAAATGGCAAAGGGGTGAACGTGGAAGGTCTTGGCTGCGGCTGAGGGACACCTGGGGCACCTGTCCACCGTGCCAGGGGGTGCCGGATCCACAGGGCGGTGCAGAGGGAGTGACCCCACCTGCCCCCGAATCTGCAGCCGGCTGTGCCGCCGGGGCCAAGCCCGGGCAGCCCGTCCTGCTGGGCACCACACTGTGCTCCCAGGCCCAGCGTCAGCCAGGTGCCAAATCTAGTCCTGCAGGTACAGAGGGTGTTCCTGGCACACAGACCGCCATCCGCACAGCCCCTGGGCATTTCAGCACATATCCCGCCATTCCTGCCTGGTGCGGGCCAAACAGCCGATGCCAAGCCGCAGTGGCTGGAGGAGTTTCCGGAAAACCCAGGAAGCGGCTCAGCTGCCCTCAGACCTGCCAGAGGCCTCACGCTGTCCAAACCCGCCCTGTCCTGGAGCTAGAGCTCTGGGGTGGGGGCGGGGGGGGGGGGGAGGGGGGGCGAGAGTTCCGACTGGGTCTTTGTTATTCCACATGGGACTGGACGTGCTGGGAACAAAGGAGCCAAAAGACCACATGGAGGTCAAGGCCACTGGGGCTGCTGGTGGCTTCAGGGTGCAGTTGACAGGCCTGGCCTCAGAGGCCTCAAACCAAAGCCCCGAGGGCTTAGGCACATGGGAGTGGACGTCCCAGGAGAACCTGGGGCTGAGGGGAGGGTGAAGGGAAGGGGCGGGAGGGAGCGGGTCTGAGACTGTCGACCAGGAATGCCAGAGCCGGGCAGACAGACAGACAGCGATGAGCAGACAGACAAGGAGACACACCACAGCCCCAGTGAAGAGAGGAGAACCAGCTGCGAGCTCACAGCTCGGGGCTCATTCAGGCCTCACTGCAGCCACCCGCCCTCGGGAGCTCAACCCGAAATTCCACCCCCACCTCCTGCCTCTCCTCTCTCCTTCCTTCAGTTCCGATTTGCTTACATGTTAAAGAAAAACGTTTAATTTTGACATAACTGTAGGTTCACAGCAAGTGGCAGAGACAGTGAGAGGGGCCCCTTCACCCAGGTCCCCCCCGCCCCCGGCTGCAGCTCACGTCACCGCAGAGCAGCACCGCAGCCGGACACTGACCCGGGGCCCATGGGTGTGGGCGGCTTTGTGTGATTTTAAAAATATATGCTTTTTCATTGATTTCAGAGAAGGAAGGGAGAGAGAAACATCAATGAAAAGAGAGAATCACCGACCGGCTGCCTCCTGCGGGCCCCACGTTGGGGGCCCAGCCCGAAACCAGGGCCTGTGCCCTGACCGGGAATCAAACGGTGACCTCCTGCCCATAGGTGGACGCGCAGCCACCGAGCCACGCCGGCTGGGTTCGGTGCCATTCCTATACGTGTGTGCCTCTGTGTAGCCACCACGGCAGCCAAGATGCACACTGTTCCATCACAAAGCCTCTCCCGTGCCAGCCTTTGTCCCCCCCGCCCCCGGCAGCCTCTGTTGCCGATCTGTGACGTGACATTCTGAGAAAGAAGCCTGACTCCCTTCCGACCCAAACAGGTTGCTGTCTGTGTCAATCCCCCCCCCCCCCCCCCCCCGCCTTCGCTGGGTTGAACTCCAGGACACTGAAGGCACCACAGTCACTAACCACTCTCCCGCCTTCCTGCCTGACACGCCCTTGGCCTCTCCAGTGGCCACACTGTGCATGTGTGTGCCTTCCACACCTTTCGGCCAGGTGAGCCCAGGACAGCGCAGGCCTTTGCCGCTCTTGTTCCTTCCTGTACCTCCAGGGCAGGGACAGTGCCTGGCCCACAGGAAGGCTCAGCAAACACTTGTGGAGAGAGCGGTTTCGCAGAGGAAGAGATCTGGGTTTGGGGAAGTCGGTGGCGGAGCCCGGTCCCGCCCCGCTCCCTTGGCTCCCGGCCCACCGCACCCCGCGCCGCCCGCTTTCTCCTCTCCGGCCAAGCGCCAAGCGTGGGCAAAGCGCTCTCGTGTCTGTGTTTCCCTTGGCTGGAGGGACGCCGGCCGGGGTTTTCAAATGAAACTTTACTGACAGCCCGCAAAGCCCAAAGGGAAATAAACAAGGGAACACGAGGGCTTGTAAAACGTTAAACTTGTGAAACAGATTTTTTTCCTCTTTTCTTTCTCAGCACGTGGTGTCAGTCTTCTCTGGGACCCCACTCGTGCCTGAAAGGGAGACACCCACGCAGAATGCTTGGTGCCCAGGGAAGCATGATAGGGTGCGTGACGCTACTTTTAATTTGTAAAAAATGTATTTTTATTGATTTCCGAGAAGACGGGAGAGGGAGAGAGATAGAAACATGTGCCACGCCAGCACGGCCAAGGGTGAACCTGAGAGGGGGCGGCTGAAAGGCTTAGGACAGACAAGAGAGTGAAAGCTGGGTCTCGGTGGGACGCTGCTTCTCTGAGAGACAGCGACGACCACCACAAGCCGTGTCTTTATTTTATAGCAGATGCGGCGAGGCACAGTAAGGGCGTGGTCAAGATGTTTACAACATTCTCGCAGGTTTTGATCCTACTCCACTGCGTGCACCTGAATTCTGTCGAGCTCACATCACTCAGGCACGTGGGGCCACGTGTTCGGACCATGGGTTCAAGCTTACAGCTACAGCTGTTGGCTGTCATTGTGCTGGGAGGGCCCTGCCCTCCAAGCTGGGACTTGCACGTGGCAACGAGAGGACTGTGCCCTCTCCTCAGTCCAAGGCAGTGGTTCTCAACCTTGGCTGCACATTAGAATCACCTGGGAATCTTTTTAAAATCCTGATTTCTGGGCCTCTCCTCTGGAAACTCTATTTCTTTGTTACTAATGTGGTGGCCCCACCCCATAACAAAGAAACAGAATTTCCAGAGGATGAGGCCCAGAAATCAGGATTTAAAAAAGATTCCCAGGTGATTCTAATGTGCAGCCAAGGTTGAGAACCACTGGTCCAAGGCTTGAACCTGTCCAAAACACTGTAGCGGCTCTCCACAGAAACATTAGTGATAGCCTGGCCAGTGCGGCTCAGTGGCTGAGCAACGGTTCGATTCCCAGGTTTCAGGCTCGATCTCCCGTAGGGGGCATGCAGGAGGCGGCCAATCAATGATTCTCTCATCATTGATGTTCCTTCTCTCTCTCCCTCTCCCTTCTTCTGAGATCAATAAAAACATATTTTTAAAAAACCATCTCCCTTCCTCTTTCTTTAAAAATAATCAATAAATAACATTTTAAAATAAGATGGGTCGGCAGGGCTGTGGGTGAGGCAGGCAGGCGGGGCAGGGAACACCAGCCGTGCTCTGGGGCCTCTAGTCTATTGGCCTACATTACACTGACGAGACGTTTAAAAAGAATACTAAAAACGATACATGAAAATGAGGTTCATATCGGGAAACCCCTCGGCCTCCAAACAGCAGGTAGGAGCTGCGGGGAGGGGTGGGGACCGGCCACAGCGCCGCTGGAGGGACAGCCTGGCGGTGGTGTTAGGGACTCCACATGACGCCCCGCTCTTGCGCCCCGTGGACTCTGCAACCCTTTGCTCACCAGCCCCTCTTCCTCTCTCCCATCCCAGTCTCCCAGTAAGAGGAATCCTCATTCCCCTCCTCTAATCAGGACAGGCACCTGCCTCTGGGAGGCGAGGGGAGGGAACTGCTGTGAGTCCTACGTTCTGGGTGAGGCGTCTGTGCTGGGAGCAGACCCCAGGCCCTGTGCCGGAAGGCGGGCAGGGACAGGCCTCCAGCCCTGGCCCCCAGCTCAGGGCGCCCCTCACCGAGTGCCTGATGGAATCCCTCGCGCTCTGGGGCTGGGCTGAGGGTGAGATGAGCTTGGGTCTAGGCCCCCCGCCCCCCCGTCCTGAGGTCAAGGATCAAAAGGGTCCAGAGACAACCCGGTGACTGTCCTCGGGGACGCCCTCTGTGCCGGGTGCCACGCGTGGTCCCCTGAAGCCTCCCGCCCGCGGTGCCGGTGGTCCCCATCGTACAGACACCGAGGCTCAGGGCTCGGGGCCGCCGGGGCTCTAGTCAGAAAGGGGTTGTCGGAGCCGGAGCCTGGCCCATCCTACCCCTGAGCCGCGCAGGTGGGAGGGGGCTTAGGGGTCTCAGGTCCTGCGTTGGTGCCTGGGTTCTGAGGCCCTCGGGGTCCTGCCTGCTGGTGACCCAGCTCCGGCGCAGGACAGGCTGACAGGCAGAATGGCCCCCCCGCAGAGCCCACCGAGCTCTGGCGTCTGCCACGGAAAACACGCCATGTCACGCCCGTCTGGCCTCTCTCCCTCTGCCTTCTGACCGGCCCCCGCTTGGTGCCACGGCCGGAGCACTTCCGGGCCACCTGCTGGGCCTGGGATCAGAAGCCAGTCGGCCTGGACAGGGTTCGGGGCGATGCTGAGACCCTGCCCCCTGGAGACGGCCCCTGTGGGCAGGCCCGGGGTGGCCAGGGCCCGGGTGGCCTGTGGGTGGGCCGACCCGCGCACCTGCAGGCGGGTCCACTCAAAGGCGGTGCTGGCCTGCGGGGGGCGGGAGTGGGGGCTGTCCAGTGCACGGGGAACAGGCCGGCTCCGCAGAAGGAAAGAAATGCAGTTCTTTTCATTAAGGACTTTATTTCTCTTAAAAAAACGACAGTGGTTTGATCTGGACACAGCAGCACTGTGACGTGTTCCACGGACACAGACCCAGCGCGGCAGAGCCCAGCCGTCATCCCAGCCACGACCCCAGAAAGGGAACGACCCCCGAAAGGGAACCGCTGTCACTCACCCACATTACATGTCCCTGAAGAAAGGAGGTCCTTTGGCTACGAGGGTTATTATTCTACCACCACCCACAGCCACTCAGCCCTTCCAAATGGAGCACATTTGCGTTTGGTCTATTACAACAGGCCTCATCGATGGCCGGGAAGGCATCTAGATTCTTCTCGGGAACTGCCTTCGCCCAAGGGAGAGCCAGCTTTCCCGGTTTGACCACTGTCTGCAGCGCAAGCCTCGAAGGTCAGACCAGACCAGACCAGACCCGCGGCCGAGCAGGGTCTGTCCCGTGGGCCCGCCGTCCAAAGCCGCCGCTCGGTTCGGCCAGGAGCGAGCTCTCCGCCTTCCCCACTCACAGCTCCGAGCTTCCAAACTTCCAAACGCACCCATTTCACACCGTCTCTGGGCAGCAGGGGCTCGAAGGCGAGGAGGCCCTGCGTCGGCCTGAGAGCGGGAGAGGCGCCCTCGGAAGGCGCCAGCTCGCGGGGACAGAGCACGTGCAGCCGAGAGGACAGCGGTGCTTCACCGCGGGGACTCCTGCTCGTCCGTCCGTGGCCGAGGTTCCCCTGGCGAGGCGCGTTCCCTCCGCGCTGAGGTCTGGGTCGGCAGCCCACGCGGGAAAGCCGGTGGGAGATGAACTGGTGGCCTGAGCCTTTGGGGGAGGGACAGGGTGTGGAAGGGCAGGGACTCCCTGGTGGGCGGGCTGCCTGGGGCGGCGGGAGCCCTCCTCCTGAGGCCGGGCCTTGCTAGGCGGCCACACCCGCCTTGTGCCATCCACGCCACGCACGTCCCCAGAACTCACGCCTCGTGTCCCAGCGACCGCGTGTGCCTAGAGCCGGGCCACGCTGCCGTCTTCTGCGCGGTGTGGCCCCCCCATCCCCCAGGCTGGGTGTCCCCTCTGTGAGAGCAGCTCGTGAGGAAACAAGCAAACCGGCCTGGCAGCTGGGGACATGGCCACCCGAGCCACGGGGCCTCGGAAGTGACGCTCCGGCCTGAAGCAGAGCTATGTGGGCTGCGGGGCCTCCTCCGCGAGGGCGGGCCGGGTCCGTGACACTCGTGATGCCACGAGAGCTGGGGGGCGGGGAGGGTGAGCACTCGTCCCTCATCCCATCGGGGACAGCAGCTTGTCTCCTGAAAAGACCCTGTCTCTCCTCGAAGGCACGACGTCCGCGGACTCAGGTGAGGAAATGTCACGCTTGGAGGAAGAATGGCTCTTCTGAGGGAGCTCAGCGGCTGTAGAAGATTAAACCCACTCACCGTCCGGCTGCGCCTCGTCCCGGACAGGTGGGTGGGTGGGAAGGTGTTGTGTTTTGTTGTTTTTTTAAATTAAAAAACACCTTTTTAAAAATGCCGCTATAGGAAACAAGTGGGGGTAGAAGGGGCGGCGGAGGGGGGAGGGTCAGGGACAGGAAGGACCCGCGGGGACTGGGCTCGGTGGGAGGAGGCCGGTTGTCAGGCCCTGAATTCGCTTCCCTTCTCTGGGGGAGCCAAGGGCCCCACGGGAGAGAAGGCCGGCGGCCCGACCTGTGTCCGTGGGCGCTCTCGGGACAGGCTCCCGCTGCCTGAGCCACCAGGGACCCGCGCTTCGTGGTCTGAGCTCTGGCCACGCAGATCTGTGTCCCTCGCCCCTGGAGGACTCCCCACGACAGGCAGACGGTGCGTGGGCTCAGGTATGAAAACAGGCTGCCTTCTCAGCGCCAGTCCGTGTGCTCAGGGCTGGGTCCTGAGAATTGGGGGAAAGAAATGAAACGTGGTGGCTGGTGACTGTCCTCGTCATGAAGAAGGACGGCCAGCAAGAGCTCGGGGGCCTTGACGTACGGGCCGAAGAGTGTCCGCTTCCTGCGAAACTGAACGTAGCTCTCTGCGTCTGCCTTGTCTTCAGCCCCCGGGGGGAAGTGGGGCAGCCTCTTGAGACAAGCCAGGTCTCGAAGAAACGATGTGGTGCATTGAAGGGGTCGGCGGGAAGCCCATTGTTTCTTCTCTCCCATTTGTTTGTAAAATGACCTCAAAATGCCCGTCCCAAGGTCAGGCCCCTCTCGAGCCGCGGCCCCAGGACCATGGGAAAGGCTTCGGGAAAGAGCCTGGAGACTGGCTGACATGCTCGCCACTTCCCCCCTAACGCTCACGCCCAAGGCCGCCTGGGCCCCCTGAGCGATGTTTGCATGATCACAACCCGAGACCCACCGACGGCGTGGCTCTCACACCCGCGGGGCGTCAGTGGGACCGGCAGCGCCTCGGAACGCTGCAGATCTCTGGGTTTGGGGTGGAGCCTGGAACCTGCATTTTACAGGAGATGCCGGTGCAGGGCCCAGACCAGGAGAAGCCCTGCAGCTGCCTGGGCTGGGCCAGGTCCCACTGAGGCCGACTGGGTCCCCGGGGACTCAGCCAGGGAGCAGGGGAGCAGGGGAGCTGCAGACCTCACCCTGTGCAGGGCGTGGCGAGGACGGATTTGCTCCTGTCACCTTCTGGAGACGGCAGGGGAGCCAGCGGCTTCCTAGGACCAGGCCAGGCACTGCCTCCTGGGGCCACCTGTGCCCGGAACTTTGTGGTCCCGGGTTAGAGCTGGCCCCTGCGCCCCTCTCCCAGGAGGTGACCGTGAGCTGGTCTTGAGCTTCTTCGGTGGCCCGGCCTCTCCTTGGGCAGCCATTTGCTTGGAGAGCCCGCGCTGTCCGTACCACCTGGGCCCACGCATCTGTGGGGTCCCGGGCAGCTCTCGAGGCCCTATGACCCCTATGACTTAAGGACTGTGCCCGGAGTCCCTGGCAAGCCCCTCCCCTCTCGAGACTTATTCAGGGTGACACAGTGACCCCACTCCAGTGCCCCTTGGGCCATAAAAGTTTGGGCCACGGGGGGGGGGGCCTCCATGATTACTCCTTATCGTTGCTACGCTTCTCTTAAAATAGAATAAAACAAAAATCCCCAGACACGCGCCTCTGGAAGACACAGTGGCTTTACAGTCAGAACCTGCTTGGAAAGAAAGGGGCCCAGAGGAGACGCTGAAGGCGCCGGCGCGGCACACGGCCGTCTCGCAGGAGGAAGAGGGGGCCGGGGCCGAGGCAACGAGGAGACGTGTGGATCCCACGGAGCTGGCCCCAGGCCACTCCACGGGCCCGCACAGGGCGTCCTGGCCGGCGGAGCAGTCCCAGGTGCGTCTCTGAGCATTTAATTCCGATTCTTCCAAGTGACCAGCGGGCGATGGCAATGCCCCGCGAAGGTTAGAGAGATGGATGCAACCGACCCTCTCGAGGTGAAACGTGAATCGTTTTCTACCTTTAATAAAAACGTTTTCTCATTTGAGGCTGTGGAAGTCTTGAGTCACATTTTTTTTTTGGTAAATCCCCCCCCCACCCCGCCCCCTCTAAAATGTCTGAAAACACATGGCTTAACAGTGGCTGCACAGAAAATATACACCCTCAAAGTCCGACTTTCATTTAAATACAAATATACAAAATGTAAACTGAGGCGATAGAGAAATTTACAAAACTTTCCTTTAAAAATAATAAAGACAAAATTCAGTTCTAGTTATGATGCTATTAAAATACGTGCAAGTCGTCGTATCCGATTGGATTTCTATTGCAATAGTCGACAGAGACAAAGCCAGTCCGCCCGGCTCGGGGGCCGCGTCTGCACAGACCTGAGTGGCACCTGAGGAGCCCGGAGGCTCCGTGCCGAGGGCGGCGCCTCCTTCCTTCGCCGGCTCCGGGCGGGCTGCCCCGTCCACCCATCCGGAGTGGACGCTCCGCCGGTCACAAGTTCTGCTTCTGAGGACAGGGTCTAGCCTGTCCCACGTGGACTCCAAGGCCAAGCGGCAACTAGCTGCTTCCGGTGGAGTTGGAGCTGACGTGGTTTGAGTTTATGTGGTGGTTAAAACTGGCCTTGGAGTTGGGCGAACTCTTGGAGTTGTTCTGATGCTGGGAGAGTGGGCAGGGGAGAGGGAGAGAGAAGGCAGGTCAGTCCCGCCGAGCCCAGCGCTGCGGCCCGGGGCCACCGGGGCCTCTGCACCGGAAGACAGGGCCGCGGGGCGGGGCTGCTGGCCGGCAACCTTGCTGCAGGCTGCCCTTTGCATCCTCCCTGCAGACCCGGCCGGACCCAGCAGCGGTTCTCCAACAGTTTTCCCCGGGACACTGTCTGGAGGGAGACACTCTACAACAGGAGCGGGTGGGGGTGCGGCTGGCATCGGGAGGTCGGAGGCCAGAGCGGCTGCTGAGTCTCACCCGGTGCATAAAGGACAGCCCCCATGACGAAGAACTAACCCAGCCTGGCCGGTGTGGCTCAGGGGTTGAGCGTTGACCTAGGAACCAAGCGGTCCCGGTTCGATTCCTGGTCAGGACACGTGCTCGGGTTGCAGGCTGGATTCCCAGCAGGGGGCGTGCAGGAGGCAGCCGATCAATGATTCTCTCCCATCAATGTTTCTATCTATCTCTCCCCCTTCCCAAAAGTTCAGTATGCCGAGGTGGAGAAAGCTTGCTAAAGGCCCTGCCCCTTCCACCCTGGGGTCCCTCAGCCAGTGGGTTTCAGGGGCTGCAGGCAGCTGCCTGCCCCCCCTCCAGGCTGCTGCTGCCTCCCAGTCCCCGGGCCCCACACTCAGGTGGGCTCTGCATTCTGGTCTCAACCCTGAGGACGTTCTGAGCCCACCAGGACCGGGGGGTGGGGGTGGGGGGCTCTCACCTGACGCTTGAAGATTCTCTGGAACAGCCCTTTCTTCGGTGGCTCCGGAGGGTGACTCCGGTCCAGGTCTGGTGAGAGGGTACCGTTAGGTCCAAACACGTTCAGCTCCTTAAAGCATTCCGTTTCTATCATCTGGAGGAATGCAGCAAGAACACGGGCAGCGGCGTCATCTGGGTGAACAGAGTCCCAGCGCCGAGCCCTGGCCCACACCGCCCCTGAGCCCGGCCCCCAGGTTGTCTGCCGCCCTCCGTCTTACTGGGGCTGAGACCCAGATGGTGCCCGCCCACCCGCTGCCTCTCCCCTGAGAAAGCAGAAGTCGGCACCCCAAACCCACAGCCATCTCCTCCTCACCCGACCCCAGCCCAGGCCACCCACATGTTCTGGACCCTCCCCCTCCCAGGGGTCCAGCCCCTCCCCCGCCCCATCATTTCAATCTCATTTGATCCAACTCTGCCTCCACCTCCATCCCCCTTGCCTGTGCCCCGGCTCCATTTCCTCCCTTCCAGCCGAACTTCTCAAGTCGTCTAACTGGCCGCCTCTTCCCTCTGACCCACCCATGATGCCAGCAGACCGCGGGACCCCAACCCAGCCGTCCCTGCGCCCTCCCTGCACCTTCCCCCGGCGGCAAGGCGGCCGCCCAGCGCTGACCTCGTTCTGCCAGGGGATGGGCACGGAGCCCGTGGAGAACTTGGAGTAAAAGTCGTCGTCCGTGTGGTCCAGGTTGACGCCCTTCACGGTGGAGAACTGCTCAATGTCCAGCACGTCCTTACAGTACACGGCCCGGGGCTGGGGCAGAGCGAGCAAGTGGTCACGGGCCCCGCCAGGCGCCACTGTCCCCAGCCAGGCCTGGGGCTTTGATGGGGGAAACAGGGGGCGTCTGCCTGAACCCCCCACCCCCACCCGGGAACCTGGGCTGCCCTCTCTCGGATCTGCCAACGGGACCCCGGCCGGGGAACGGGAGCTCGGAGCGTCCAGGGCCCTGCTGCCCTCAGGCCTCGCACGTGCCGGTCACCCCATCCTTGGGCTCACCCTCCTCAGCGCCCTGCAGCCCACTCCTCCATCACACAGTCTTTGTTCCCCAAAGGGCCCCAGGACTGGGACGGGGAAACTTTCCAAAGTCCTTTCTGTTTGGGGCTCTGGGCCACCTACCACAGAGAGCGAATGCTGGTTCCCAGGGCCAGGCCCGGGGAACACGCAGCCACGGACACCTTCTGGGGGGGCCTCCCCACCCCCTCTCACATTACAGGGCACCAAGGGGCTGGGCACCAGGCTCTGCAGCCAGACGGGCCGGGTTGGGTCCCAGCGCTGGTGCTTAGGAATTTGGAAAAGTCCCACACCCCACAGGCCTGTCTCCCTCCTGCAGGCCAGGCTATGGAAGCGCCTGTGCCTGGGCTGTAAGCGCGCGTGAGCTGGCGGTAATATCTTTATCTCACTCCCCCCAGCCACGCACTAGGGGCTGCTCTCTGCTGAGACCCACAGAGACGACGCAGGCAGGCCTTCCCCTCCAGGAACTCAAACTTGGGACTGAGCCTCCCAGGGGCTCTGGGGCCTGTAGGTCTGAGGATGAGGACTTCATGGAGGAGGCGACTCCAGGATGGATGCAGGGCCCCCAGCCCTGGTGACATGTCTGTCACCGGAGGGCAGAGGCCGCTGCCTGCCCGCGGGTCTCCTCGGCCCCGGGTTCGAGGCCAGGAACCGACATTCGGTGAGTGCAAGGCTGGGAACAGGGCACAGGCTCTGTCTGGGCTGGGGGAGCTACTCACATCTGGAATGAAGGGCGGGTCCAGCATCCCGGCTTCCAAGCGCTTGAAGTTCATGTTCCTGAAGAAGGGGTGCCTCTTGACCTCCGCGGCCCCCTCCTCCTGACAGCCCAGCCTCTGCTTCGCGTCTTTGGTGAGCAGCTGTGACAACACAGAGCGCGTGAGGCCACGCCTGGAGCCTTGTCGCTCCGTCAGGGCAGGCCTGTGGTCATCTCCCTCACGGGGTGTCCCTGGGACTCCCCGGTGTTCCTCCTCCAGCCTGTGCCACCCAGGTGCCCGACAGACACCGCCCGGCCCTGCTCAGGCCTCGCTTCAGCACCTCCTGAGCCGCTGTGAGCTCTGTGGCCCCGCGTTCACAGCGCGGTTGCCTGGAGCCCCTGGGGGAGCAAGACTCCTGTCTGTGTCTCCCCGGGACCACATGCCCAGCACCCGTGAACTCGGGGCACCCACTGACACTTGCTGAACTGGGGTGACTTCTGCCACAGGGAACTGACAAAGGGCAAGGGCTCGGTCTGTAGGTCTCTGGTTCATTTACTCAACTCACAAGTGCAAACCCCTGGGGGCGGGTGAGGGAGAAAGAAGGGAAGGAGGACAGAGAGGGAGGAAGGTGGAGAGGGAGGGAGGGAGGGAGGGAAGGAGAGAGGGCACTGAGGGTTTGGCCTCAGTGAGATCATGTTTAAAGTTGGAGGCACCATGGATGTAACACATGGGGTCAGAGGAACACAAGTTAGCTGCTCACTTGGGGGTCAGGGAAGCCGAGGGGCCAGAGGATGGGAGCCAGAGGGGAGGGGAGAGACCAGTGCTGGGACTCAGCAGGGCCTAAGGAAGGTGGACTGAGGACTGGCCTAGAGACAGGACCAGGGTGGGGAGGGGGGCAGTGGGATGCGTGTCTGGACCCCGGAGCAGGGAAAGGTCTTGTGGCCGCCAAGACGGGGTGAGGGACAGAATCTGGGTCAGGGACCAGCTTCCTGGCTGTGTGGAGAGGCCTTCCTTCTCAGGCCGGCAGGTGGGCCTGGAGCTGCCCGGGGCTCCGTGGTCTCCTTATAGCCAGGCCCTACTGCAGTGATGGCGAACCTTTTGAGCTCAGCGTGTCAGCATTTTGAAAAACCCTAACTTAACTCTGGTGCCGTGTCACATATAGAACTTTTTTGATCTTTGCAACCATAGTAAAACAAAGACTTATATTTTTGATATTTATTTTATATATTTAAATGCCATTTAACAAAGAAAAATCAACCAAAAAAATGAGTTCGCGTGTCACCTCTGACACGCGTGTCATAGGTTCGCCATCACTGCCCTACTGTGTCCTGAGCTGGTGCCTGGAGGGGCAGGGCCGGCCTGGCTGCCAGGCCAGAGAGACGCGGTTAAGGACACAGAAGAAGCACAGGGTCATTTGTCAGAAGACGGAGCAAGGCCTCTGGACATCCTTCAGGTTACAGAAGATGCGGGACATGGGTTTGACACCAGGATCCGCAGGCGTGGCCGCTGCCTTTCTCTCAGTGCACACCAGGGGGCAGCAGAGAAACAGCAGCGCCCAGTGCTGGTGCCCCAAAGCCATGTGCCAAAGCCCATGATGCCGGCAGGGAGGAGCCCTCTGTGCCTCTGCCCTCTGCCCTCTCAGCACATCCCACGTCCCCGCTGGGGGGGTCTCTCCAGACCTGCTTCTCTGAACCCCAACCCCGACCTGGGACATATGGTGCCCCGCCCTCTGCTATCCCTCACCCAGCGTGGTGCCGCTGCACACGGACCTCGCCTGACAGAACCGAGTCTTGTTAGCACACCCGCTGGGTTTTCCAGCATCCCTGGGAGCCCACGTCCCCGCTGACCGCCTTGTGCCGCCTCGCTCCTCCGGTCCCCCACCCACCTCCACGGCCATGACCACCTGTTTCCTCGGAGGCCCGGGCAGGTGGGCAGGAGTCCAGCCACAGGTGGTTCCGGTGTGTGTTTGCATGTGTGCATGCTGCCCCTCCCTCAGTGTCCCACATGCAAACGACAGGTGGCAGGCCCAGCCCCATCTTCCTTCCCAGGGCTCTGCCGTCAGGCTGGGGCTGCAGAGGTCAGGCTGGGGCTGCAGAGGTCAGGCTGGGGCTGCAGAGGAAGTGGCCCAGCCCGGGCAAGGACAGCGGGCCCCGGGAGCTCACCATTTTACAGATGGACTTGGCCTCCTCGGAGAACTTGTGGGAGTACACCTCCTCGGTCTCCAGGACCCGGCGGTCCACCTCCTCCCGCTTCACCTTCTCCTTGCGGCCCCGGAACGGCGACTGGCCCTCGATCATCTCGTAGAGGAGGCAGCCCAGACCCCAGTAGTCGGGGCTCAGGCCGTACCTCTGGTTGTTCAGGACTTCGGGAGCTGGGCGAGGAGGGAGCGAACGAGGTGAGAGGCCGCTGGTGGCAGCAGTGCCCAGGCGCACGGCTTGGGCTGTGACTCATGCCAGCTGGGTCCAGCCTCCTCCTCCCTCACTGGAAGCAGGTGCCAGGGACTGGATGTAGCTCTAGGTCTCTTCCCTGCAGCCCCAGGAGGATGGTTGGGAGTCGGCTCAGGGGGGGTAGGGCAGGGCCCCAAGCTGCTCTCTGCTTAGTCATGCTTGGCACCCTCATGGCCTCCCTCCTGTCATGGGTCTCCCCAAAAGGCTGTCCATCAGCCACTGGACCCTGACTTCAATGGGGCCTCCTCCTGAGCATCGCTGTGTGCCAGCCTGGCCACTGACCCCGAAGTGGACTGGCTTTAGACGCAGGTGGGCTGGAGGTGGGGGTTGCAGAGAACTGGGTTTAGTCCAGTCACACTTGGGGTTCCATGCAGCCTGGCTAAGACCGCCCACCTCCCACCGTCAGAAGGGACCCTATTTCTGATCAGAGTGGCACAATGAGGCCAGGGATCCACGTGGGAGGCTGGGGGGGAGGGGGCCGCGCCAACACTCACCCATGTAGCCGACGGTGCCCACCCGGCCTCGGATCAGGTCTCCCTCGGGGATCTTCACAGCCAGGCCCAGGTCGGAGATCCTAATGTGGCCTGAGGGGGAAGGGCAGGGTCAGCGGGACCCTGGGACGGTCATGTGACACTGGACCACCCTGGGCAGGGCCTTAGACTTGCGGCGTGGCCCCGGGCAGGAAGAGGGGGACCCCGATCTACCGTCTCAGGGCGACTGCAGGCCCTGGGAGACTCAGGTGTCAGAGGACGTGGCAAGTCACTCCCCTTTAGGAGGAAACACACAGATGCGGGGCCGCCTGCACTTGGCTGGACGCGGGCAACCTGCCTCATGCAAAGCGCTGATGGGCTCCTTGGAAGGCTGAGGTCAGCGGGTTTCAAATGCCTTGGCCTGATTCCGGGATTGCTTCACGGAAAAAATGTGAGATTCTCCTGACATTTTGCAAAAATTTGCTTAAGGGGAAAAATTATAAAGCAATTTGGGAAGCAACTCCCCGTTCTGCCGAGATGGTCTTTGGAGGTTGTTTTCTCCCTTTGGAAAAACAAGATGGGAAGATGCCCAGGCCCCTGGAGACTGGGAGATGGATTGGAGCCCCTGGTCCCAGACTGAACCCCCAAAGCAGAGACGACTGTGCTGAGGTCAGCCTCTGTGTTGTCTCCCCTGGTGGCCCACCAGGGACAAGGGGGATGTCACAGCCACACATGACCCTGTAGGCAGGACCACTCCCCCTCCCCCTGTGGGTGAGTGCTGGGGCCCCCACAGCCTGGACCTGAGCAAGGCCCAGTGACAGGGACCCCGGCCAGGTCGGAGCTGTGTGAGGCCCCCAGCTCTGGCCCCAGACAAAGGCAGGAAAGGTAGAGGGAGCACGTGGATTCACGTCACGGGGATGCAGGTCAGAGGTGGGCGTGGCTCTGAGACCAGAAGGATAGGAATCCCAGTGGACACTGGGATCATCCGAGAGGGGCAGCGAGGCCAGGGACCCTCTGCCTGATGCTCCCCATGGCAGCATCGCCAGGCCATCAACACACTCAGGAGACCTGGCCTCTGATCCCGGCTCCCCACTGATATTGCTGGGTGACCCTGGCAGCTTGGCTCCTCTGAGCCTTAATCTTGCCATCTGTAAAATGGGCACAGGGACTGCTGGCCCTGCCCCCTCTGTGGAGATGGGCAAATCTAGTCAGACTGAAAATGAGGAAACTGTTTCCCACCCTTTAGTGTGAGAGGCTAACAGTTGGGAGGGGTTCCCGTGGCTGCCTGTCATCCGTGTGAGACAGTAACAATGGCGACGCACGAACACTAATGACGAACACATGTTCCGCTGGCTGTGGCTGATGGAACAGCTTCCCTTCAAGCTGTCTTGTCAGAACCTCACCCCCGTCTTCAAGCCTCTACGTTGGCAGGACCCATGTTTCCATTGAAAACAAGGAGATGAAGAGCAGAGAAACTGTGTGAGGCCAGTATGTGCCCAACGTCTCTGAAATCCTGGACACCTCATCTCATCCCCCCCACCTCTCTCTCTCTCTCTCTCTCTTTCCTTCTCTCTCTCTCTCTCTCCCTCTGCCCAGCCAAGTTGCTTCTTCTCCTTGTAGGAGCTCTGTCCATGCCCACGGTCTTCTCTGGGTTCCCAGGGCTGAGGAGAGGAGTGGCTCCTCCCCTCCCCCTTGCCCACTGCTCCCTGCGGGCCCAGGGTGGTGAGTCTCCGAGAGGCCCTCTGCATTGGGTTGCGATGCTCACCTCAGCTAGAGCAGGAAAAGGACCTTCCCGGCCACTCCCTGACTTACCGTAATCATCTAGCAGGATATTCTCGGGTTTCAGATCCCTGGAAGGGAAAGACCACAGGCATGTGAGTGTGGGCATCTGGGCAGCAAGGGCACCCTGGCGTCTGGGTTGACCCCGTGGGCAGGCAGGCCTGAGTGTTCCCTTCCCACATCGGGTTGTCTGGTCTCTGGGCTGATCTCTCTCCTCCCACCCTGTGCCATAGGCATCTTCTCCGCGATGGAGAGTGATAGGAAGGAGGTTAGGCAAAGGCTGGTCCTGGCTCCTCCACACGCTGCCAGCCGCCAGGCCTGAGAACACCGCTGGCTGGGGTGGTGACAGACCCCTCCAGGGCTGGGAAGACGCCCCCCCCCCCCCCCCCCCCCGCCAGGTCTCAGGATGCCCGGGAGGCAGAGCAGGGCCTGGGAATAAAGGCAGAGACACTTGAGAACAAAGCACCAGCTGCAGAACTGGCACAGAGAACTGCAGGGAAGAGGAAGGTGCCCCCTGAGAAAGACTCCCTGGGAATGGGCCCCCAGGAGCCTGGCACCTCCCCAACTCCAGCTGAGCTACAGTGGGAGGAGAGCACCGCTGGAAGGCGCGGCTGTAGGCGTGGCCACCTCCTCCCGACCCCAGCGTCTGTCTTCCCTTTGATGACATCACCATGCTCTTAGGAGAGGGAACCTCTCCGTTAGTTCCCAGGAGGGGGAAGAGGCAGCAGGGGTGTCTGGTTTTCCTAGTAAAAGGTCTCCCCAAGGGTAAACCAACAGCCAGTAGGATGGCGTGTGTCGCTCAGGTAAGCCGCTGGGCAAACAGTCCACGGCTCTGGCCTGAGGGTTGGTTCTCCACCAACTGGCTTTGTTTATAGAACTGGCGGCAGCTGTCCCTGGGGCAGGCGTGGTGACTGCCCCTTCCAGAGGGCCCCAAAGTGCTGATTGGTATTTGTATGGAGTTATTCATTACAAAATACATTTTGTTGCTGTTGTTATTTAATTTGCATTCTTTTGATGTGTTAACAATCCCAAATAAGGGCAAGAGCCAGGGCTTCCATAAGCCAACTGGCTGGTGGGCAGGGCCCAAGCCCACGACACAAGAGAGGCCAGGCGAGCGGCCGGCTTGGACTCAGAGCTGCCTTCTCGTCTTTGTAAATGAAGGGCACTCAGGTGGAGGATTCTTTTTCCGACCCTTAGGAAAACTGTTCGACTCCCTTCTCACTTGAGTGAAAACCAAACAAAAGCATAACTGGGGAGATGGTCGAGGCGGGAGGCATGCACCAAGCCCTCCCTCCTGGTTTTCAAAGCCTTCTTGGTCTCCCCAGGTAATCTCCACCCAGAGCGCCATGGCCCAGGTCTGCGAGCGGGTGTGTGGGAGCGGGATCGCTGGGGACTGTCCAGGAGACCCCAGCTGGGAGCCCACTCACCTGTCGGCAGTGTCAGGAATGTGCGTTTCCGGATCCCTAACACCAGGGCGCCCTCGTTCCTCTGGGGTCCCTCCCACCTGCCCTGTCTCAACAGCTCTTCTGCCAGTGACCGAAGAAAAGCAGGCTCTGGGCCATCTTGAAAATGAATTACTATGGGGTCCTGCTCCAGGTATAAAAAGCCCTGGGCCTGATCAGAAGTGGGATCTAGTCGTAATAATTATAACGGCAACTCAACAGAAGAAATTATTTGAACATGTAGAGCCTTATGATCATAGGAAATTAAAAAAAAAATCTTACATGCATCCACATATTTCAATAAAAGAGTCTTAGGCAAAAAATATATTACATTATAATAACATTTTGTGAGGGAGGTGGGGAATAGGAAATGATAGGAAGTTCCTCACCATTAAAGGGCTTTATGCATGTTTAGATAGACGATGGTGGAAATCAACTTGCTACAGCAATTAGATCCCACTGGATGCCTTTAAAAATGTGAAGTAACTTCCATACCAAAATATCCAGATCAGCCACCATTTAAACAGACGGCGGACTATGTCAGAAGTCCATCTTCAGATTGTGAAGATGCTTCGTGGAGGCCATGAGACAAGCCCCGCCCAGGGTGACGGGCAGTGTGGGAGGCGGTGGTCCAGGTGAGCACCAGCCATCACGTTGGCCCTGAGCCTCACGCTTGGTGCTGCTCACAGGACCTGGACCCTGGGCCTGCCACGTCGGGCGGTGCGGATGGACGCAGGCCTGCTTGTGGTGCCCACCCCCCAGGTCTTCCTGGGGCTGGTCCAGGTCACGGCCAACAGGCTCCCCCGAGCTTCCCTGGGCACTTGCCCCCTAAGCAGCCCACCTCACTTACCCTGTTTCAGTGGGAAGACGTCTGCACCCTCACCTGCGAGGACAATGATCGGGCCTCGGGTCCATCCCCACCCACTCAGACGCAGGCGGAAGGCCAGGCGGGACCCGCTCACCTGTAGACGGTGTTCTCCAGGTGCAGGTCTTCCAGGCCGCACAGGATCTCCGCCGTGTAGAACAGGGCCCGCTCCTCCTCGAAGCCGGGGTTCCCCATGTTGTAGATGTGGAACTTCAGGTCGCCCCCGTTCATGATGGTCAGGACCAAGCACAGCGCGTCCTTGGTCTCGTAGGCATAGGCCAGGTTGACCTGGGAGCATAAGACAGCACCGAGGTGAGGTCCTGCCACCGCCCCCCGCTTCCGCCCTCCCTTCTCAGGGCCCGTGCAGCTGGGGGACGGCTGGGCTAGGGGGGCTTCAGCGGCTTCACGCCACCCCCGAATCCCGACAGCCTCGGCCTGCCCCGCCCGCTGCCCCTCTCAGCTGGTGAAGGGCTCCCTCCTTCCCATCCGGTGGTTCCAGGTGAGGAGGCGAGGGGAGGGGCCCTGCCCTCTCAGGGGTGCTGCCGGGATGGTGTTCTTGCGTTTACACCACAAGAGCATGTGCGTGCATCAGTCAAAACTGTGTGGCCCCGTTGACTGGTCAAGAAAAGCAGGGCCCGGATGCCCTCCGGCACCAGTAGTGCAGGGACCGGGCAGCGGGCTGGATGGTAGCCTAGGGGCTTCGAGAAGCAGAACAAGACTTGGCAAAGGCTGTCCCCTCTTGCACGCAGGACACGCCTGGCCAGAGGGACCATCCACAGAGAGGATCTAGCCCAGTGGTTCTCAACCTTCCTAATGCCGCGACCCTTTAATACAGTTTCTCATGGTGTGGTGACCCCCAACCATAAAATTATTTTCGTTGCTACTTCATAACTGTAATTTTGCTACTGTTATGAATCGTCATGTAAATATCTGATATGCAGGATGTATTTTCATTGTTACAAATTGAACATCATTAAAGCATAGTGATTCATCACAAAAACAATACGTAATTATATATGTGTTTTCCGATGGTCTTAGGCGGCCCCTGTGAAAGGGTTGTTCGACCCCCAAAGGGGCCGCGACCCACAGGTTGAGAACCGCTGATCTAGCTCCTTGTGGAGAGAGACCAGTGCCTGAGGCTCTGTGGATGGGGGCTTGGCGGGGGAGGGGCAGGGCTGGGTCTGGGGCAAAGGACACTTCTCCACCGACGGGCTGGCACACAGGGACTCTGGCCATCATAAAACGTGGTGCAAACACAGGGACCACGGGGTCACGTCTGAGGAAAGGCAGAATGCGCCGAAGGCGAGAGCTCTGGGAGCTGTGCTCTGCGTCCCCATCGCACACCTGTCCAGGTGACCCCGAGGAACGGCTCCGGGAGGAGCGTGTGGGAACAGCCCGCCTGGGACAGAGGACGGGGCACCGTCGAGGAAGGTCCAGGTCTAACCCTTTCCTTGAGTGGGACCCACCATCACCAACCCCAAGAGCCAGCCCTGCCCCTGAGGGCTCCATGGGCAGCCTGGAGGCGGTGACCTGGGGTCACTATTGAAAGGGGCTAGTGACACAGAGGCTCACAGCCAAAATGATGACCGCCACCTCCCACACAGCACGTCACCCTGGCGGTGGGGACAGCCAGCATGAGACAGAGACCACACCTCTGTCCCTTGAGTGTCACCTTATAAAGCCACCCCCTCTGGGGAGTGGCGGAGGCCCTGAGCCGATAGCCTCCCTCGCCCCATGCACAGCTGGTAGGAGTTTAACTGGGCGACCTGCATGGAGAGCCCGTTGGGAACAGCTACCAAATGGAAAACGCACACACCCTCTGACACAGCCATTCCTCAGCCAAGGAATGCAGCCTCCGGACACGTCCACAGAGCCATGCCAGGGGTGCTCGGGGGCGGACACACAGCCTCCGGACACGTCCACAGAGCCACGCCAGGGGTGCTCAGGGCGGACACACAGCCTCCGGACACGTCCACAGGGCCATGCCAGGGGTGCTCGGGGGCGGAAGTGCAGCCTCCGGACACGTCCACAGGGCCATGCCAGGGGTGCTCGGGGGCGGACACACAGCCTCCGGACACGTCCACAGAGCCACGCCAGGGGTGCTCGGGGGCGGACACACAGCCTCCGGACACATCCACAGAGCCATGCCAGGGGTGCTCGGGGGCGGAAGTGCAGCCTCCGGACACGTCCACAGAGCCATGCCAGGGGTGCTCGGGGGCGGAAGTGCAGCCTCTGGACACGTCCACAGAGCCATGCCAGGGGTGCTCGGGGGCGGACACACAGCCTTGTCTGCAGTGGCTTCCCCCCCAGGACGCGTTCTCCCTGTGGGGGTCAGCCCCATGGGCCGGGGTTCACTCTCCCATGTCTCAAGTGAAGGCGGCACAGTTTTTTGTTTTGTTTTTTTTTAAAGGTGCAGCTATAAGTCTGGATTTTTTTCTTTTTTTTTTAAGATCTACATTTTAAGGGGAAGAAAAGATTGCAGCATAAGATGCCTAGTGAGATCCCATTGGCTAAAAGTAATGAATCCAACATGTTGGAACGGTTCCTCAGAGAGGGAGCCTTCTGTTTTTCTTTTGTCTCTGTCTGTGCTGTTGGAATTTTTACCTTGTGCACATATTGTTTTTTATGGTGACATGTGGCGGACATTTAGAGCTGACCGTATGTCCACGTGCTCCTCCACATCTCCCTGCAGCTGGCCCGTGCCCCGCAGGGACCAGCTCTGGCCCCACGGGCTGTGGGCGGGAGGCTGTGACCATCCCCCACGCCCCTGCGCACTTCCGTTATTCTGGACGGGGCAGCTGCAGGGAGGCGGAGGGGGGCCCGATCTGACCGGACTCCACGTGAGTGACAGAACCGTCTTGGTTGGCCCGGCCGGCGTGGCTCAGTGGTTGTGTCGACCTCTGAACCAGGAGGTCGTGGTTCAATTCCCGGTCAGGGCACAGGCCCGGATTTCAGGCTCAATCCCCAGTGGAGGGAGTGCAGGAAGCAACCGATCAATGATTCTCTCTCATCATTGATGTTTCTGTCTTTTCCTCTCCTTTCCTCTCTACAAATAAAAAGATACAAAAAATAAAAAAAGAACGGCTTGGTTGTTTTCAGCTGTAGCGAGTCGGGGTATATTTGTTACTGCAGCAGAGCAAAGCCTAGACTGAGAAGCACAGCAGATGTGTGCACGATGGCGCCTCTGAGGATACCAACACTAAAGTGTCCGCCGGGAGGAAACCGGCCTAGAGGGGCCTGTGGACACGAAGCTCCCGGCGGGGCCCAGGTGAGCTTCTTCAGTCCACCGAGCAGTGTACAAGGTGGTCCTGCAGGACAGAGGCCTCGGTCCCACACACAGGGGAGCCAGGCCTGCTCTGTGACAGGACGACGTCGGCCACCAGGACCCAGGGGCGCGTTGGGAGGCAGGGGGGCCTGGCTGCCTCTCGGCAGGTATTCCTCCCGCTGCATCCCATCTCCCTGGCGATGGGGAGCTGCCACACTGGTTGGCCACCCGCTTCCCAAGGGACAGAAGCCCCGGTCGCCAGCAGGTGGCCTGTCACTCAGCCCTGGACACTCACCACAAACGGGCTGTTGACCTTCTCCAGGATCTGCTTCTCGTTGAGGGCCATGGACTCCCCTTTCCTCTTCTTGATCCTCTTCTTCTCCAAGCGCTTGCAGGCGTACATCTTCCCCGTGGCCCGAACCTGGCAGGCACAGACCTGCGGAACAAGGAGGAACCACGGGTGAGGGACACGGCAGGCCTGCTCAGCGCCTCCGTGGCCAGGACGCTGGGCCGAGGGGTCGGGAACGGATGGAGCCCGAGCCGGCCAGGCCTGGCCTTGGACCACGGCTGCCCCGGGCCACACCCTCGAGATCTGGCTCCCCTGCCACCTCGCCCTCCCTCCTCGGGCCCTGGGATGGAGCCCAGCCTTGGAGGTGCAGAATGCGCCATTTTCAGCAACGCGTAGATGCCGCCGAGACTTGAGGTCCGTCCCTCTCTCAGAGGCAACTACATTTCCTGTTCTCAGCTTCCACCCAGAGGCAGCCATTGCCCACTGTGCACGTTCAAGTGCCGGCTGCAGGCGGAAGATGCTTTTTGGGGACCAGGGACAGAAGACCCCCGAGAACCCCGAGTGTATGACTCAGAGGAACGGGAAACGGGGCATTTGGGTTCTCGTCTTCGTTCTGCCCCTTGTGGCCGGGTCCCCTCACCATTTGGAGCCTCCGCTTCCTCACCCCCAAGTGAGAGTCACGGGCTGCCCCCCTCTTGGGAAGCTCAGACAGGGAACAACAGCCCATAAAGCAGTGTCACCTGGCCCCTCGTGTCCTCACTTCTCCCTCCAAACAAAGCCAAGAGCAGCACCCGTTTCTCCTCCCCGGACCTGAACCTGAGGCTGCCTCATCCCCAGCCCCAGACAGCGAGGGCTGCTCCGCACCCTGCTACCCCCCTGCAGACACACCTGGCCCTCCCAAAGGCCCTGGGCCCCGCGCTCTCCACCACAGGGCCTAGGACGCAGCCAACATGGGAACACCAGGCAGGTAGAGGGACAGGAAAGGGGACTGGAGTGCAGGAGCTGTCACCTGAAATGGGGTGCTCACTCACCTCCCCAAAGCCCCCCTTCCCCAGCACTCGGTACTGCCTGAAGGTGTTTTTGGTTATCGGTTGCCTGAAAAAAAGCAAGAATCATGGTGTTAAGATGCATAACCATATGCAACAGACAGCGGCAGCATCTGACTTGGGCGGTGCAAGGCACAGCTCCATGCCCCGGGGACCCCAGGAATGATCGCTGCCGAGAGGCCCCTCATGGGCTTGCTCTGGGGCTGGGTGTTCAAGTCCCAGGCCACCTGCCCGCAGCCCTGCAGCCTGGGAGGCAAGCAGGAAGGCAGAAGGCGCGAAACATGTGAGGCAAAGCAGCTTCAAGGGACGCTCCCTGTGGTTTCCCCTCTCTCCCAAATGCCAGTCCGGTGGCTCAGCTCTGAAGGAAGCTGTGAGCCGGGTGCAGGGAGAGGGGAGGGTCCCGGAGACACAGAGGCTCGGTGTCCCCTGGAGGGCATGACGGAGACCTGCCCTCCCTGCCCCTGCACATCCCAGCCAGCCCAGCATCTAGCTCAGCCAGCCCAGCATCTAGCTCAGCCTGCCCAGCATCTAGCTCAGCCTGCCCAGCATCTAGCTCAGCCTGCCCAGCAGGACGGCGCACTTCCAACTTCTCCACTTCCCAGGGCCCCTTTGCTGTCCCCCCTAGAGCTCCAACACGGCAAGATCCCGTCTGCCAGTGGGGAATCTATGAAGTCATAGTCGCGTAGTGTCTCCCGACGCCCCGTTTTAATTAGCCAAAGCCAACCTCTGACTGCGAGGCAGGGCGGGGAGTAAAGACCAGATGGTCCTCTGGTTGCTTCGAAGACCCCGGGCTGTTGGTAGCTTGTGTTTTTCATCACTGGTCTGTGTGGCTGTGAATATTCAGCTTGCTTTTTTCCCCTCAAACCTTTTTTCAGCTTTACTGAGGTATGATTGACAGTGTTCAACTTGATGTTTTGATATATACATTGTGGAATGATCACCGCAATCAAGCTAATTAACATTCTATTACCTTAGTTCCCTCTTCCTCCCTCACCTTCTGTTGAGAACACTTAAGATCTACCCTCCTAGCAAATTTCAAGCACACAATACAGTATTTGTTAACTAGGGTCACCACGCTGTCCATTCGACCCCCCACAACGTACTCATCCTGCAAAACTGAAACTCTTTTACCCTTTGACCAACATCTCCCCATCTTTCCTCCCCTCACCACCCCTGGCAGCCAGCATTCTACTCTCTGCTTCTATACATTTGACTATTTTAGGTTCCACATATCGGTGAGGTCGTGTGATATTTGTCTTTCAGAGTCTGGCTTATCTCACTTAGCAAGCATCTTCCAAATTGACCCACGTTGTCACAAAATGGCAAGGTCTCCTTTTCCACGGCTGAGTAATATTCCACGGTGTGTGCGCACACCACACGTTACTCCCGTGTGCACTGTAGCGTTACTCATAATAGCCGAGATATGGAAATAATCTAAATGTCCGTCAACTGGTAGGTGAGTAACAAACAGTCCACTCTACAATGTTAACACTGGTTCTTGGAACCAGAACTGGGTTTGTTTGTTAAAAAAAAACCAACTTTTTAAAAATTGATTTTAGAGAGGAAAGGAGAGGGAGAGAGAGAGAAACATCAATGATGACAGAGAATCATTGACCAGCTGTCTCCTGCCCCACACTGGAGATCGAGCCTGCAACCCGGGCATGTGCCCTGACCGGGAACCGAACCGTGAGCTCCTGGTTCATAGGTCGATGCTCAACTCCTAATCCATGCCAGCCAGGCCAGAACTCTTGCTGAGCAACTCCCACGCCCACCCCAAGAGTCCTGACCAGGGTTGAGGTTGACACGAGACTGAATTGGGCCAACGACCTGGGTCGGCTCAAGAAAGAGAGTGACCGCTGGCAATTCCTGAATGAATCCTCCACGGAAACTCTTCTGGCTGCTGGGTCCTGGAGAGGACTTGGGTTTTACTGGAAATCCCGTCCCTGTTCTCACAGGATGTCCCCAAGACCCAGGGCACTCCCGGCATTCACGTGCTGTGCCTCACCCTCCCTGGCATGTCCTTGGGCAGCGGGGTCCCCGTCGGTAGCACAGGGCTGCCCCTCCATCCCTCTGTCTCTCTCCTCTGCAGGAGCGGCCAGGGCCTGGAGCTCCCTGCCAGGCGCCTCGTCCGCTATCGCCCGGGAGTGTGTCCTACAGCCGCCCTCGAAACCACATGAAGGCGTCCAGGCCCAACCGTTAACGATACATGGAGAACAGACAGCCGGGCGACATTACCGCAGCGCCCCTCTGCTGGGGGAATAAGTGGAATACAATTTCCGAGGAATTTCTTGGTTAACCTTGGGAGGGAAAAAAGATCCCTTTAATATTTCAACAGTATCGCACGAAGGGGCCACGGTCTTGGTAGTGGGTGGGGAGGGAAGAAGAGGGTTGTCAGTCATTTAGGACGTTTCTAGGCCAGCGTCCTGACATACTGGCTTCAACGACTTAGCGTCTCCGATTTAAAAAGTCCATTTCTCCGTTTCCTGTGCTCGGTGCAGACAAGAAAAATGAAAGTCAGTGGCCGCAGCTAAAGGATCCCATTGGAACAGGAGTGCTGGGTAGAAGGAATTGAGTGAGGGACCTGGAGTTCAGGTTCCAGCCTCGCCAGGTTCTTGCTGTGTGACCCAGGGCCAATCCATGAACCTCTCTGAGGCCTGCATCTTCAGTAAAACGGAGCTATTGAAAGGCACTTGCATCCAAAGGCTTCTGAAGGCTGCTGTGTGTCAGACTGTGTGTCTCTATGGTAACAGTTCCCACTACTTGAAGCACCTTGTACATGGACACATGCAGTCCTCATGCCTGCCTTGAGAGGCGAGATGATTACTGTCTCCATTCTGCAGGCGAGAGCTCTCAGGCTTTGAGAGGTAGAATGAGCTGCCCACGGTCACGGCTGCTAAGTGGTGGGGTTGGAACTGGAGTCCAGGCAGGAGCCCACGTTCGGTGTCCTGGCCCCACACTGCAGCTCTGGGGAAAGTGGGTGCAGATCGGGGCCTGTGTTACACGCCCAGGGCTTCCGGAAGTGGGGTGGGGCTCGATGGATACGTCCCACCGCTGCCCGCGAGGGTCAGCTGCTCCTTCCAATCCCAGACGTGCGAGGAAGCCGCCACGCTGACGCTGACGCTGACGCTGACACTGACGATCTCGGGGCGACCACAACTGTGCCAGGAGTTTACTCCTGGGGCCAAATGGCGGACCTCTGGCGAGTACGCACCTTGTCCTGGGCACGTGCTGCCAATCTCATCTCCTCCTCGCCCCAGGCCTGCAAGGCGGGCACTGCTATTTCCCCGAAGGATGAAGGCGGCGCGGGGAGGCGAGCAGCCCTCCTGAGGCCCCTCCAGAGGGAGCCGGGCTCAGACCCAGGTTGGGGCTCCATGCCCTCAGCAGGATGTGCGGCCAGCCTCCGGCCCTCCGGCCCTCCGTCCCTCCGTCCCTCTGGCCCTCCGTCCCTCCGTCCCTCCGGCCCTCCGTCCCTCCGTCCCTCCGTCCTTCCGTCCCTCCTTCCCTCCGTCCCTCCTTCCCTCCGTCCCTCCGGCCCTCCGGCCCTCCTGCAGGTGCAAGGTGAGCAGCGGCAGTCCAGGGCTGACCCCTTCTCACTCTGCCGTCCCGTTGGTGGGGTGGAGAGACACGCCCTCCCATGGCTGACGGGCAGGTGCTCTCTGGGCATCTGCAGGGCACTCGGCCAGCAAAGGTGTTAATAGACATTCAGAGTCAGGATGGCTCCTTGCTCTACACCCACACGTGCCCAGACGGCATACATGCCAGGCCTCAGGGCACAGGGAAGTCTGGGCTGTGGAACAGGACACCCCCACCGTTTCTACCAGCTCAGTGTGGATTTATTATTTATTTATTTATTTATTTATTTATTTATTTTTATTTTTAACTATATTTTTATTGCCTGGCCAGCGTGGCTCAGTGTTGAACCAGGAGGTCACGGTTCAATTCCTGGTCAGGGCACAGGCCTGGGTTGTGGGCTTGATCCCCAGTCGGGGGTGTGCAGGAGGCAGCCAATCAATGTTTCTTTCTCCTCATCGATGTCTCTCACCCTCTCCCTTCCTCTCTCTGAAATCAATAAAAACATATTTTTTAAAGAAACAGGCGATTGGGTAAAACAGGGGATGTGCAGCTCATCAGGGGATCTGGCAGCTCTTCACTTGCTGGTGGAGGAAGAATTCCCAAGGACAGAAAGAAAGAACAGGCTGCCAAGCTGCTGTGAGTGCGTGTGCCCGAGTGGGTGAGCGGTGGGTAAGCACACGTCAGCAAGCACAGGCAGGGCGCTTCCAGACGAACACACAGGGGAGAGGCAGTTCATGTTATGGGAACCCTCGGCCCATGGAGGGAACTGGTTCTTATACGACTGCTCAGGTGAAAACCTGCCCCCCTCCCCCCTCCCCACACTGGCACACGCGTGCGTGGGGAGCGCCAGGGCGGCACTCACCTTTCCAACCACTTCCACTGGAGAAAGCGATCAAAATACATGCTGTCCAGGTACTCACGGAAGGGCCCTCCCCGCAGGTAGTCGTGGACAGACCTGCTCGGGGGGGAACACAGACAGAAACATTCACAATCCTGGTCTCCAGCAGATGGGCAGAGCCGTGTCCAGCCGGTTAACACCCGGCCTCATCCACTCCCAGGTTTTGGAAATGCAGACACACAGGGGCCAGAGGCCCCATCATCCTAGGACAGTGATGGCGAGCCTATGACACGCGTGTCAAAGGTGACACGTGAACTCATTTTTTTGGTTGATTTTTCTTTGTTAAATGGCATTTAAATATATAAAATAAATATCAAAAATATAAGTCTTTGTTTTACTATGGTTGCAAATATCAATTTCTATATGTGACACGGCACCAGAGTTAAGTTAGGGGCTTTCAAAATGCTGACACGCCGAGCTCAAAAGGTTCGCCATCACTGTCCTAGGAGGTTGTTGGGGACTGCCCACCTGACCCCGCCCACCGGCACCGAGCACCTGCCACGGGCACACGTGGCCTGAGGCAGCCATGAGCACTCGGGTGGCATCGGGATTGGGTAAGTGACAAATACTAAACACATGACGCCAGGGGCACGTTATGAATGAGAGTTAAGGGAGGTCCCTGGGGTCAGGGAGATCTCTCTGGAGAAGGGACAGGTGCTGAAATGACAACAGAGGCAGACTTAGTTGGGTGCAGGGGAGGGACTCTGAGATAGTGGGTGGTGGGGGCCGAGTAGGGATGTGGCCCTGAGGGCCCAGGCTCTGAACTGGGTCCAGGACCAGCAAAGCCATAGGGAGATTTTCATCCCTGCAGGAGAGTTTACTGGTCACCTGCAGTGGGCCTGGCCCGGGTTAGGAACCTGGCTGCAGGCAGGGACAGGCTGCTTCCCTTTGAAAAGTGGCGATGCTGACCAACCTGGCCTGGCACTTGGGACCCGGGGAACGGAAAGGACGTGCACGTTAGAGGCTGTGTCCTGCCGAACCGGAAACCCAGGGCTGACGTGGGGGGTCAGGATGACCATGACCTCAGGGGGACAGCCCAGAGACCTCACCCATTTTCAGACCTGACCCTCGGCCAGTTCTAAGAGGGCAGCAACCAGGCTTGTTCCTGTTCGTGGGGGACTCTGCTCGGCACCTAGCACAGGGCTGGCCCCCAGCTGGCCTCCCTAGTGTCCGTCCTCATCATCCCGCTGCCAGGGCACGGGTGCTGGCTTTCCCTGTCCCCTGCCTGCCAGTGAGCTCTGAGAGCCGGGGCTGGGTCCTGCTCACCATGGCACGCCCAGCACCAGGCATGGTGCCAGGCACACAGAGGGCACCCAGTCGATGTCTGTGGTGCAGAGGCTGAGCAAGGGCACACCGAAGTCCCAGACTCATCCAGCCGTGTGGGTGGCCGGGCTCCAGAGGCCTCTTGGCATGTAGGTATGTGTGTGCGCACACCTGTCAGCTTATGGGGAGCGGTGTGTGTGGGCACATGAACAGGTGTGTGTTAAGCCTTTGTAGTGTGGTGGGGGGTCTTGGGGGGATTGATTGGTACAGAGTTGGCACCAGCTTATCTCCTGTCCCATGAGGGTCGTTGTATGCCCTGCAGAGGTGATGGGGTGTCAGAGAAGGCACCCCCCTGCAGCAGTGCCCCCCTGGCTCAGGTTGGTGGCAGCAGAGGGGTTTGGGGGGGGCCTGGGAAGGATTTCCAAACCACCCAGACCGGGTCAAATTTTTGTACATTTCTCTGTCTCAACAGCCTGGAGAGCCACCGCTTTCAACACCCTTTGAAGCAGATGTTTTCTTTGGACTCGGCCCCCTGGTATCTTTTTCCTTCTTAAGGAGTCTACAAATGTCTGGGCGGCTTGGCTGGGGCCCTGGCCACTGCAGACCAGCCCCCCCGTGCCCAGTGCTCCAGGTGGGAGCTGGGGGCAGCCTTCGTCCAGGCAGCTGTGTGGCTGCCAGCGGCACCGAGGGCCCGCCATCCGGGCCAGGAGGGAGGGAGGCGGCCGCTGGGGCACTTACTGTGCACAGGCCGAGAAGAGCTCTTTGCACGGCCTCTGTAGGAGCTTCTCCTCCGTCTGGGAGACCAGGTCCCGACCGACTTGGGCGATGAAAACTGGGGACTGGAGGGAAGAGAAGAGGTGGTCAGTGAGGGGAGGAGCAGGGCGGCTGGGTTAGTGAGGGGAGGGTGGTCTTCCCCTCCTGCCCACCCCTGGCCCTGGGCAGCCTGCACAGTGTCCCGTGGTGCAGGGAGGTGGCTGGGCCGGAAGGTGGTGCAGGGGCCAGACTTAGGGCCCGCTTTCTGCTCTGCCACTGTCAGTGGGGTGACCTCCTGGAGGTCACATGGCTCCTTTGAGCATCACTGCCCTCGTGTGCAGAACATCGACCCGTGTCCTGGGTCTGTGGTAGAACCGAATGAGGTGGGAGTGCTCCTGGTGTGAGGAGGTGGGAGTGCTCCCGGTGTGAGGAGCTGTGCATCAAGCCGGGTTCACTTGCGAGCCCCCCCGCCCCCCGGGGCTGTCTCCTCAGGGGGCAGACTTGAGATGAACCCCTGCCCAGCCTCAAGGTCACGTACCAAAGGATCTGGAAGGGGTAAAGGGCAAGCGAACAGGACGACACAGCAGCGAGGGGAGGGGAGCTCAGTAGCTCTATGATCTACAGCTTTGGCACCGACACACCAGGGTGCGAACCCCACATCTGTTACTTGTAGCCGTGGGACCCTGGCCTAACTGCTCAGCCTCAGTGACCAGGAAGATGATCAGAAATAACAGTTTCTCCCAGAAGGAATCAATAAAACCACTAGGTCAAGCCCTTGGCCCAGATCCTGGCACAGAGCAGAAAAGTGTGCAATGAATGTTCTGTCATTTCATTCTCCTCCTCGGCTAAGCTGCCTGGCCTGAGCATTTCACGTCTGAAGGACAGCTCCAGCGTCCTACCGGGGAGCAGCAGCCAGCTGGGACGGCAGCCCCTCCCACACCCACCACTCCCCGCACCAGTCACCCTCCACCAGCTGCTCACTCACCAGCTGGGCCCCAAGGTGGGTTTTTAATAAATTACAGGAATAATTGAGAAAATTGCAGGGAGTGGGCTCAGAAAGATGGGGTGTAGACGCATCTTTTCCAAAGATGTTGAGCTAGGAAAGACTTGCTTTCTCTGTCCAGCTCTTGCCGCGTGACTGTGGGGCTGACTGTTCTGCTAAGCCCATCGGGGGGGGGGCGTCTGGGGGGTTTGATCCTGAGGGTGGAGGCGGAGCTGCCTGGCATGGCCCTGGTGAATGACACCAGTGGCTCATCTTCTGGTCCCCACTGTTCTGAATGCCATGTTCCTTCCCTCCTTCTTCCTCTCCCAGGCCCTGCCCTCTCTGCAGGTCTTCCCCTGTCCTGGGGCCTCCCCGCACAGGGTGGGGGGGGGGGGCTGAGGTGTGGTGGGAGCTGCCGTGATGGTAAATGCCCCCCAAACTCCCAGAGCAGACAGAGCCAGTCACAGCACCATCCCAGAGCATCTCCCAGATGGCTGCTGTCGCCAACCCTGGGTGGTGGTGGCTCCCTCCCACCCGCCGTCCCCACATGGACAACTTAACGCGATGGCAGAAGAGCAGCCAGTAGTGTCGGCCTCTGGAGCTCGTCGTTGCTCCTTTTGCAGAAAAGATGCTCGACCAAGAGGCTGGAGCCCGAGCTCTGATCCGACCTCTGCCCTTGGCCATCTGGGGCCTCCCCGCCTCCCTGGCAATAGGAAGGGGCTGCCCCAGAGATGACCTTCGGGTCCTTCAAGACTTAGGAATTGATGGTTGAGGGGTTTTTTTTTACTTCTAATCTTGGGGAACTTTCTTGGGAATCTGGCAGCTGAGTTTATTGGGGACCAGTAACTCCAGAGCAAGGGAATATCAGCACAGACCTGAGGCCACTGGCAAATCTGCTTCAGGAAGCGAGCTGGTGGCTGGGGCAGCCTGGGTCTGAAGGGCCTGGTGGCTGGCCCAGAGCTGGTGGTGGCCGAGATAAGGAGGAGATCCTAACGGGGCGGGGTCATCTGGGAAAGGCTTCAGGGAGGATGGGGCAGAGGCAGAGCAGAATTCGGCCTCAGGCCTCCCTCCCCTCATAGTCCCTCCCACCTGCCTTTGAGGACAGCCACCTGGGCTGTCTTCTCAGCTACACCACTCCCATTCTTTGGCACTGGCTGGCGGGGGGCTCTGGGGACACTGCCCACAGTCGAAGCCCGAGGGGAGTTAATGAGCAGGTAAGAATGTGTTTAGTGTCACAACCAGGGGCTTAAATTCAGTCCCTGGCTCGACATGAAGAGATTAAGGATTCCAACCAAACCCCTTTCAAGTGATTCCAGGGAATGCCACCTTTGCCAATAAGACGGGAGTGAGAAGCTGCTGGCCAGCTTAAGTCAGAAACGGAAACCCAGACGCCAGGCGTGAAGGAGCAGCAGCTCAGAGGGCATTTCAGGGGGACACTCGCTGTCTGTGTCCCTGGAACCAGAGGGGGCTCCGGTCAGAGAAGTGAATTTCGGGGGGAGACCGTTAGGAAGGCTCCTGGGGCCTCCACGTAGTGAGTGTGCCCCTCACGTAAGAAAAGGCTCTGAGGCCTCAGCAACCACAGTCCCCTCCTCCCCCGCCCCGGGTCCTTGAAGACAGTTTCAGATCCCTTTCCCTCCTGGTCCCAGGGGCCCTGCGAGGTGGGCTGAAGGTGGGGTGTACCCTACAGGCCAGGGGGGCTCTGGCAGCAATGCCACCTCCCTGCACTGGGGCTCGGGAAGCAGGAGAGCTGGGCTGGGCAGCACATTGGCTCCTTCTACCAGGGACCGTCCCTCTGGGAGGAAGCTGAGGGTCAGGGTGGGCAGGAGGAATGGGCACCATCCTCCTCCATGTCCAACAGCAAGAGCCTCAAGGCCTTAGGAATTTACAGGGTGAAAAGCAGCCGGAAGGTCTCTGAGACAGTCCCCCAGGTCCTGGGACCCCTTCCCACCAGCAGGGCTTGAAGTGACACTTGTTCTTTGGTCACCAGATGGTCTCCTCAAGGAGCGCCAGCCTGCAGGCTTGGCCTGAAAGGACGCTGTCCCTTTAGGGGCCTAAGTCCTTTGAAATGTGTGGCATGAAGTCTTGGGGGCATGGCTTCCGGGCCAGGAGGGACTGGGTCGGGGTTTCTCTCTCGCTGGAGGCCCCACCTTGAATGCCTGCCTCCCGATGGTCCTGGGCAGCCGAAGCTAACCAGCTGGCCAGCCTTGATGTGACCAGTCTGCCCAGCTCCGCCAGAAAGTCCCCTCTGATGACAGTCTTGAGGACCCCAGCTGCTCTTAGGAGGGCTCTGTGGTCAACTCCTGGGAAAGCTTAAGCCAGCAAGGCATGCCTGGGGGACAAGGCCATGTAGCCCGGGGCACTGACCAAAGAGCTCTGTCCCCTCCTGCAGAGAAGAAAGTGACCCCGCCCTCGGACATGTGGCCTCGGCCAGACCTCTGTCATCTCTGCTCCATCAAAGTGGAAACCTCTGCCCTAGCTGGTCTGGCTAAGTGGATAGAGCGTTGGCCTGCAGACTGAAGGGTCCCAGGTTCCATTCCAGTCAAGGGCACATGCCGGGTTGCAGGCTGGATCCCCAGTGGGGGGCGTGCAGGAGGCAGCCGATCACATCGGCAGCCGATGTGATTCTCTTTCATCATTGATGTATCTCTCTCCCTTTCCCTCCCTCTCTGAAATCAATAAAAAAATATTTTTTTTAAAAAAAATGGAACCCTCTACCATATTCAGGCACAGTATCGACCAGGAATGATTCGGTGCCCTGGGGGCTCTGCCTGCACCCACCAGGTCATTCCAGCCTCGGCCAGGGTGGCCGTTAGTCCACAAGGTGGCGCTGTTGAGCCCCTTGTGCCAGAGCTTCACTGCACTGACCCCACAGAGAGACCAGCCCGCGGGCCTCTAAGACCAGGTGGCACAGGGGACATAATGACCTAGTGACTCATCTCAGGCCTCAGGTGAGGAAATAATGAGAGATGCGTTGGGAGGGAGCCCTGCGGGAGAGGTCGATAATCCCGGGGTCACCCTCGGAGCCTTCTGGAAGCACACACCCTCTACTTGTTCAGAGACTTGGGACCCAAGACGGTGCAGCGGGAGGAGGAGATCGCAGAGGGCTCTCCTGGGAAGACCCCTCAGGGCCCAGCTGATGAACCCACGCGGGGCACCGATGGGGGACTGACAGCAAAGACCCAGGAGGGAGGACCCCTGCACGGTCACACCGCTGGCCCATGGCAATCTGGTCACAGAGCCTTTCCCCCACCATCCCCGTGCCCTCCAAGGACACACCGTCCTTCTCAGAGAGGGTGAGGGGATGTGACGTTGGCCCTTCTTGGAGGCCATGGGGCTGGAGAACGAGGTGCGGTGGACTCTGCCTGTTTAGCAAATGCTATTTGTATAACGCACCCCTACCCCCACCCCCAGGCTAATGGCCACCATATGCTTCGCTTCAACATACGAAAACATCCCACCGAGGAGCTCCGGCTCATTAGCAGCGGTTCCATCAGCGAACGAAAGGTCAGCCCAGGAGACTGCCGCTCTATCTCCAGACGCAAGCACTTAGGCCGTAATGATGTGTATATTTTCGTATGTGGGCAGCTGACATTTCCCATGTAAACTATTTGCAATTTCCCAACATGGACAGACGTGGCCTTCAGGAACAGTGGAGCAGCGGAGAGACAAGGCACTCTGGGAGAAAGAGGGTCCAGGGTCCCCCTTCCTTCCAAACAAGGGGCTGCCAATACCAGGGTGGAGGCAGCTGTTTCTTGGGGGGAGGGGGCACCTCCATTTCCCCTCCAGCACAGGAACAGGGGAGGGGTTCTTTCACAACATACCCCGCCGCCCACAGACCGGTCACGAGGGGGGTCTGCGTCAGCGGCCGAAAGCTCTGCGCACAGCTGCCAGGGCCTGGCTGTGGGCGAGGGTGGGGTGGGACCCAGGCTCTGGCTGTGAGCGTCTGGGACAGGGGCCGGCCTGACAGTCACTATTCCTCGACGTGAGTTTCTCCACAACGTTATACTTCTGTTGCTCCCCAGAACAACCATAATGGGGGGCTGTTCCCAGCCACCACCAGAGACTCAGCAATGCTCCTGCTCATTCCTGTCTCATCAGGGTCCA